CTCTTCTCTGCACTCTCCTTGGCTCTTTGCGACTTCAATAGATCATAGTTATCAATGAGACCATGTACATAATCAGATTCAGTGATTTTTGACCCATAGTTCAAGAGTTTGGAGTTGGTTACCATGTGGACATTGAATGCTCATCTGCTATTTGTTCCTGAACATATGTTTTAGCTTTTGGGGCTAATGGGGCTTAGGTTTCCAGCCTGACAGCCCCTGCCGCTTCTGGACATCTATTGCAGTTGCAAGGAGCCGAGGAAAGTGTGGAGAAGAGCATGAAGGTTCTTGGCACTCTGGGAAGCCCCAAAAGCAGCTGGGAGAGGTACGCATCTTGGTTTAGCCTCTCTGGATGTAGCAGCAGCAGCCCCAAGCACGCTGATCTCAGCGTTTTTGGGATTGGGCATGCTGCAAGAAGGAGTGAGTGAATACCTTTTCTGGATTGCTGGTGGTGGAGGTCCAGGCCCATCTCCCCCTGCTCAGCAAAGCAAGTCAGGGGAAGTCCTTTGCGCTGGCGGAAAAAAGTCTTCACTCATTCCCTCTTGCAGCATGCCCCAATGCAAAAAACGCTGAGATCAGCGTGCTTGGGGCTGCTGCTGCGATGTCCAGGGCCAAACCAAGGCATACGCCTCTCCCAGCTGCTTTCGCAGCTTCCCAGAGCACCAAGAACCTTTACTCTTGTCTCCGTGCTCTCCTTGGGTCCTCATGACTGCAATAGATATTCAGAAGCGGCAGGGGCTGTCATGCTGGAAACTCAAGCCCCATTAGCGCCAAAAGCTGCTGCGCCAGCAAAGAGCTTACTTACCTCATTGACAGGCAGCAATAGAAAGCCAAGAGCTCTCTATAGGGCTCTTAAAGGCCTGGTGCAGATGGGGGGAGTGAGCGGACCAACGGTGAATAGATGGGCGGAGCTTGGGGGAGCTAGTGAGGGGGCATTGGAACCGGTTCTAAACGGCACGCTAAACGTGGAACCGATTCTAAACGGCATGCTAGATGTGGAACCTATTCTAGCGAACCAGTTAGAACTGGCAGGAACTGGATTGAGGACTACCTGCATTTGATCTTTGCTGGTTCTCCCAACACTATGATTGGGAATGACTTAGGAGCCAGAAGGAAGAGACTGCTTAACTGGCATGTCAATGGTATCTCAGCCCACAGAAGGAAGGAGAACATGGGAAGCAGGTCAGAAGGGACCCTCCCTGGTTTTCTGGAGAATGAAAAGAAAGGTGGGAAGAAATTATTTAAGATAATTTAAATCTTGCATTGAGGAAAGTGTCAGATTCGCTTCACTACCATTTGAAGATTCCCTGAAGATAACAGCAAGGGGTTTGCTCAATATTATGCAACTTTAATTACATGGTGTCTAATTAACCTAGTAGAAGAAAATTAAAACTGAAAAACACTTAAAAAAACATTTTACTTCCTGAATTTTTATTTTTATTTTTTTTCTTTCAAAAACCTCTGTCTTTCTGTCCTGTTGAGTCTTCTACTCCTTTTTTACTCACATTACTGGAAAACATACTCGACTTGAACATACTTTTCTTTTGAGAATATTAGGTCTTTTCTTTCTTGGGATCTGTTTGCTACTTGACAAAATTTAAGCAAATACAAAAAAAATTCCATTCATTCATAACAAATGTAATTTTGGGAGAGTTCTTTTGGCAAATCTGTAGAAACTAAAGTTGAGCAAAGTTTGATTAATCATTGAAGAATAACCATAAAAATCTGTTGGATGAAATAGCCTTTTAGCAGTAAGAACCCGAACGAGGAAACCAAAGAAACCATCTTACCTTGATATGGAAAAACTGCTAAGCAGACAGTTGCCAAGAGAGCTTGGATCATTTTTGAGCCTGGAGTTGGCTGACAGTCAGGGAATCTCTTTCTGCTTTCAAGCCAACATGAGCTTTTCTCCTGTTGACTATGAGAAGCAAGTGACTTCATTCATGCCCTTATATGAGAAGATGTTTGCTAAAGGATTTGCCCAAATTCTGAGTTGCCACCATACTATTGGAGGGCATGTTACCAACTAACTTAGTGCCAACTGTTACACATGAAGGGTTCTTTGAAGACATCCCTCAAAGGTGGAAGGATAAGTGGTCAGGGGAGAGCTCTCCCTAGCCTGCAGGTTAATGCAACTAAATTTGGGTGCTCTTGTGCATGGGGTTTTAAATGTCAAGTGTTGGTTTTTATGGTATTTTTTGTACAAAAGGCATTTTTGGACAATTTAGCATCCTTTCAATATTGCTAGCATTTAGTGTTGGTTACTAATCATGAAGCTCAATGAGTTGACTTGTTGGCTGTGAAATATTGTGGGAAAGATTGACTACATGTCAAGAGATCCCTTACTTCACTACAGGAATATAAAATATTTATGCCATATTGGATATTTCAGTTTTTAAGAGACCCCTTTTATGACACTTCTACAAGCCCCTCCATTTTATGAAAAAGACAATTCATGTGTAGGTGGTGCAAATTTCAGCTGGCATAACATGCCTTCAAAGTGAACATAGTCAATGGAACGGCTTGCCTTCAGAAGTGATAGATGCTACAGAACTGGAGGTTTTTTAAAAAAGAGATTGGAGAACCATTATTTCCAGCATGGTACAAAGCCTCCGGGTTGGACTGAGTATTGAACTGTAAGAAGTGCAAGGTCCCTTCTAACTCTGTTTTTCTGTATCCTTTAAAGGGTTTTTGAATGGGAACTATGAGATAAATCTCTGGCAAAGGAAAGTAACCTTCTCTTCATTTAGAAACAAGGACGTATATGAATCTTTGAAACAATCTTTGGTGCCCCAGTTGGCTCAGTCTTTCAGATCTTCTGCCATTACCCTCATCAGCAGACCTCTCTAGCAATAGCACCAGACTAATTAAAATTAGTTTAGGGAAGAAATATAAAGGTAGCCTCAAGTCATATTTTATGCTGAATTTAACCTTTCTGTTTGCGGGGAGGATAAATGATAAACCAGTATTATTATATACAGATGCTTCTCCCAATATGCACATCCCTTATTTCAATGTTTTTCTTATCTCAGTTCTGACACCGAATCTGATGTAGAATCCAATGAACTTTCTTGAAGTGAGAACTTGGTTCTGTTTTAGAAGAATCAAAGAATGAAGAGGTTAAAAAGTAGAAAATTCCAGGATTGAGGTGCTTCCCAACTGAGAAACCTCAACACACACAAACTCATTAATTTCTCTCTGTGTTTCTCATATGTTACTCCTGAAGAAGAAATCATCACTCACATGCTGATAGACAATTCTGATTCAGATTCTCCTTTATAATAATTGTTATTCATTTCCAGGCGGTTCTTATTAATTCTGTTTAGATTTTTATTGTCTGACCAACAAATTTCCTTTTCTATGAATGTGACTACATATTACTTTTCTATGTGTAAAATATGTTGTTCTTTGACTAGATCTATTTAATTAGTATAATATTATTTTTTAAAATTTTATTTGTTAAAGTTAGAATATTTTTCTTTTTTTGATTTGTCCATTATAAGTAAGCTTATTGACTGACAATAATTCTAAGATAATAATTCCATAAGCCAATTCTCTGTGTAAATTATTTTCAGTTGTTCATCACAATAACATATGAAAAAATGGCTCCTTGCCAAACCACAATATCCCATAACTGGCAGCAACCATTTCAAATACACTTATAGCATTGTTGCACTAGGATTAAAGTCTTCTTTTTTTTTGGAAAGCAGGTATGAAGGAAGGGCCAATTAAAATCTGGCGACCTCTGAATATCAGCATTGTCTACAATATGCTGTTCCCATGATATAATTATACACATATTGTCAGCCAAAAATAACAGAACAATTATAAAGCATAGAATAATAGTGTTGAAGGAGAACTTGGAGGTCTCCTAGTCCAATCCCCCCTGTCCATGGCAGTAGATCCTATACCACTCATGACAAATGTCTGTTCAGTCTCTTCTTAAAAATTTCCAGTGATGGAGCATCCACAATTTATAAAGGCAAGCCATTGCACTGATTAATTGCTCTCATTGTCAGGAAAATTCTCTTTAATTCTATGCCAACGAAGCATATAGGAAATAGTCTTTGTTTATGGCTACTTTTTTGAGGCTTTAAAAGCCATGGTGGTGCAGTGGTTAGGCTACTTCTGGTAACTGCCAGCTGCCAGTAGTTTAGTAGTTCAATTCTTGAACTGGTTGACTCAGCTTTCCACCCTTCCGAGGTCAGTAAAATGAGGAGCCAGATTGCTCAGGGCAATATGCTGACTAGATAAACTGCTAGGAGAGGGCTGTAAAACACTGTGAAATGGTATATAAATCTAAGTGTTATTGCTGTTAGTCACTTCATCAACAAAAGCAAAAATGTTTGTCTGGCATTTTTACAAACCCATGCTATTAGTTGTAGAGATAACTAGTGAGTCAACTGTAATGGACTTAGATAAAGGTTTTCCTGTGACAGTGTTCATCTCCATTTCTTGGCCAAGGAAATGAAATGAATAGAGGAGGTTGAAGTTGTAGGAATGAAATTCTTCCGAAAATGGGTGACCATTATGATTCATAGAAAACCTGAGAATTCCCCTTATCCATTGAATCATTTCACTCAGTTCCTAAGCAGGGTAAAGAATTTGGAGAGGTTATTTAGAGTAGTGCTCCCCCAATTAAATTAAATTCTGGAAGAATAATGACAGACAAAGAAATAGCATATATATATGTGTGTGTTGTATTTGTGCTGATAAATAAATAAATATATATGTTTTCTGAGGTTTTTGCGGGTGTTAGTATGTAGGTCATATATATATATGTAGGTAGGTCATATATATATGATATATTTCTTTTTAAAAACTTCCAGTGTTGGAGCATTCACAAATTTTGGAGGCAAGTTGTTTCTCTGTAATGAGAACAGAATGCTGAATTAGATGGGCCCGAGGTCAAATCCAGTGTATGTTTCTTAAGTACATATCCTTTGTTCCTGAGAAACATGCAAAGAATGATACTCAGAAGGTATTAAAAAATACTTTCCTCCATTTTCCATTTCCCCATAGTCTCCTCAAAACTTTGCTCTATCATGTCCATTGCATTTCTAAAAAGTAAATCCATCTCCTCCACTCATTTCATATGGATCACCAGGATTTTTCACCCTCCCCAGGCTTCAGAAAAGCCTCTGGAGGCTGATGAGAGTGAAAAACAGCCCCAACGACCCAACCAGAAGTTTATTCCCAAACTTCCAGTTAGGCTGTTGGGGCCATTTTTCACCCTCCCCAGGTTGAGGAAAGTCTCGGGAGGTTCGGGAGGTTGAAAAATGGCTCCAATGGACCAACTGTAAGTGGTCCGTATTTCTGCTATGTATTTAAAATGGACAGCGAGGTTTGTGTGTGTGTTTGTGTTTGTGTTTGTGTTTGTGTGTGTGTGTGTGTGTGTGTGAGTGAGAGAGAGAGAGAGAGAGAGAGAGAGAGAGAGAGAGAGAGAGAGAGAGATATATATTTTTGTCTGTGTTTTCTCTCGCCTGTGTGTGTTATGTAT